CTGGATGGCCTGCTTTGCAATGAATTCCGTGCAGTGACCTTCTCTCACTAGTTCTTCAAGATGCGTCTTCCAGGCAAAGCAGTTGTTTGTAGTGTGCCCGTTCGTCCTATGAAAGGCACAGTATTTCCTGGTATCCCTCTTGTCTGGATCTCCTCTCAAGGGTGGTGGTCTTTTTACCCAAGGTTTGTCTTTCACTTGGGCTAAGATTTGATGTATGGGGATGGAGAACTTTGTGTAGTTCTCTCCTGCCGTAGCGTCCCCTTGTGGGTGTGACCTGCGTTTGTCCTTGTTTTTGTTGTTAAACCCATCGCTTCTTTGGCCTGCCCGTTTAGACGGCTGATCTTCCTGCTTAGTAGACTTCTTTGCGGCGATTCGATCATCATCCCAGAGCGCATAGCGTTCCGCGGTTGCGAAGACCTCTGCCAGAGTTTGGCTGGGAGCGATAGCCAGCTCGCGGTATAAGTCGTGTTCAACTGGAAGGCCTTTCTTGAAAGCAGAGGACGCAATTCGGTCGTCACACCCTACGATGTTGGCCTTTTCTGCTTTGAATCTCTTGATGTAGTCTCGAAGGGATTCGTCGGATTTCTTGCGTAGGTTGAACAGATGATCCGGGTTCTTCTTAATCATCTGGTAAGAGGTGTACTCTTTAGTGAAGACGTAAGTCAGCTCCTTGAAGCTGCCGATTGACCCGGATGGTAGAGTGTGGAACCAGTCTTGGGCTGCTCCTCGCAAGGTCATTACAAACACCTTGCACATCAATGCGTCGTCGGTCTTGTGAAGGATCATGACATTTTTGAAGTATTTTAGGTGACTTTCGGGATCGGAGTCCCCTTTGAAGTGGGTAAACGAAGGTGTCGAGAATCGCTTCGGGGGAGCAGCCTGCTCAATCTCGGCAGTGAAAGGCGTAGAGTTCGCCTGGTCTATCTCCTTGCGTAGTGCATCTTCGAAGTTCCCGCCGGCTTTCAGGTCTCGTAGTTGGTCATTCACAAGCTTCTTGATGTCCTCTGCACGCATTGCTGGTTGGACACGTTGGCGACCCTCGCGATTTGGACGACGCTGATTGTCCTCCTCACCAATTCGCAAGGTTCGAGCTTCTCGGCTGTGTTGCCTGGGCGGCGTGTTGGTGGACTGCGCCTGCGAAGGGTTTTCTGTAGCTTGTCGATGAGAATCGACTCTTCGAGATTGAGCAACGGAGCGCCTTTCCTCGTGATCTACATTACGAAAGTTATCAGGTTGACGTCCCTGGGAACCTAGCCTTTCATGAATGTTCCTCTGCGAGTGGTCAGCGGAGCGCCTTTCTTCACGATCCATATTGCGATGGGTGTCAGGTTGACGACCCTGGGAGCCTAACCTTTGAAGAACATTTCCCTGCGGGCCCAGTCGGGCGCGGATGTCAGGTTGTGGGCCCAACCTTTCACGCACATTGCTCTGAGTGTGGCTTGCGGATGCTTGTGACATGTTGGCAAACTGATCACGTTGTTGTCCCTCTCCTTGTCTGCTTGCTCCTGCTCGACCTGCTTGGTACCCATCGAGTTGCCTATCGGCGCGTTCGTCCATCCTTCTCTCTTCGCCCAATTGTCCAAGGCCAAGGTTTTGAGCCAAATTTATTTGGTTGAGGAGCTGCCTCATCAAATTGCTTTGGTCGTCCATTCTCTGAGCTAGCTGGTCAACTCTCAGATTGACGTCTACTTGACTTCGTGGATCGGGAGGAGAGAAGTGTGTGGAACCCAACTGCATACGGGCTAGGGTTTCATTGGAGGTGTACGCGGGAGCGTGTGTCGAGCGTAGAGGCAATGGAGGGAATGCTTGAAGTTGTTCCAAGATTGGGCCTAAGTCGGCGGTGGTGATGAGCCCACCTTGATGGGAGGTTCCACCATGCTCGGCGGTGGTGCCATGAGGGTGGCTAGATCCGGCCACGGGGCCTTGGATGACGGCGGTGGCCGGCGCGGTGGTGAGAGGTGGTGGTGCCACCATGTCGATCGCGGGATCATGGGTGGAATGGCTTTGGGCCGTCGCGGATCAAGCCATCGCGGCGGGTTTGC